TCATAATGTGCGACACTCAATGATACTTGTGGTATCATGTCGTAATGTTGCGTCACTCGATTATGCTTGTGACATTGTGTCGTAATGTTGCGACCCTCGATGATGCTAATGACATCGTGCCATAATGTTGCGACACTCCATGATGCTTTTGACATTGTGTCGTAATGTTGCAACACTCCATGATGCTTGTGACTTCATGCTGTAATGATGCGACACTCCATGATGCTTGTGACATTGTGTCGTAGTGTTGCGACACTCAATGATACTTGTGATATCATGTCGTAATGTTGCGTCAGTCGATTATGCTTGTGACATCGTACCGTAATGTTGCGACACTCCATGATGCTTTTGACATTGTGTCGTAATGTTGCAACACTCCATGATGCTTGTGACATCGTGCTGTAATGATGCGACACTCCATGATGCTTGTGACATTGTGTCGTAGTGTTGCGACACTCAATGATACTTGTGATATCATGTCGTAATGTTGCGACCCTCGATGATGCTAATGACATCGTGCCGTAATGTTGCGAGACTCCATGATGCTTTTGACATTGTGTCGTAATGTTGGAACACTCCATGATGCTTGTGACATCGTGCTGTAATGATGCGACACTCCATGATGCTTGTGACATTGTGTCGTAGTGTTGCGACACTCGATGATACTTGTGATATCATGTCGTAATGTTGCGTCACTCGATTATGCTTGTGACATTGTGTCGTAATGTTGCAACCCTCGATGATGCTAATGACATCGTGCCATAATGTTGCGACACTCCATGATGCTTTTGACATTGTGTCATAATGTTGCAACACTCCATGATGCTTGTGACATCATGCTGTAATGATGCAACACTCCATGATGCTTGTGACATTGTATCGTAATGTTGCGACACTCCATAACGCTTGTGACATTGTGTCATAATGTTGCGACACTCAATGATACTTGTGATATCATGTCATAATGTTGCGTCACTCGATTATGCTTGTGACATCGTGCCGTAATGTTGCGACACTCCATGATGCTTTTGACATTGTGTCGTAATGTTGCAACACTCCATGATGCTTGTGACATCGTGCTGTAATGATGCGACACTCCATGATGCTTGTGACATTGTATCTTAATGTTGCGACACTCCATAACGCTTGTGACATTGTGTCATAATGTTCGACACTCAATGATACTTGTGATATCATGTCATAATGTTGCGTCACTCGATTATGCTTGTGACATTGTGTCGTAATGTTGCGACCCTCGATGATGCTAATGACATCGTGCCGTAATGTTGCGACACTCCATGATGCTTTTGACAAATTGTGTCGTAATGTTGCAACACTCCATGATGCTTGTGACATCGTGCTGTAATGATGCGACACTCCATGATGCTTGTGACATTGTATCGTAGTGTTGCGACACTCCATGGTGCTTGTGACATCGTGTCGTAATGTTGCGACACTCAATGAAGCTTGTGACATCGTGTCATAATGATGCAACACTCCATGATGCTTGTGACATCGTGATGTAATGTTGCGACACTCCATGATGCTTGTGATATCATGTCGTAATGTTGCGACACTCAATGAAGCTTGTGACATCGTGTCATAATGATGCAACACTCCATGATGCTTGTGACATTGTGCTGTAATGATGAGACACTCCATGATGCTTGTAATATCATGTCGTAATGTTGCAACACTCAATGAAGCTTGTGACATCATGTCGTACTGTTTTGACACTCCATGAAGCTTGTGACATCATGTCGTAATGTTGCGACACTCAATGAAGCTTGTGACATCATGTCGTAATGTTGTGACACTCCATGATGCTTGTGACATCGTGTCGTAATGTTGCGACACTCCATAACGCTTGTGACATTGTGTCATAATGTTGCGACACTCAATGATACTTGTGATATCATGTCGTAATGTTGCATCACTCGATTATGCTTGTGCCATTGTGTCGTAATGTTGCGACTCTCGATGATGCTAATGACATCGTGCCGTAATGTTGCGACACTCCATGATGCTTTTGACATTGTGTCGTAATGTTGCAACACTCCATGATGCTTGTGACATCGTGCTGTAATGATGCGACACTCCATGATGCTTGTGACATTGTGTCGTAGTGTTGCGACACTCAATGATACTTGTGATATCATGTCGTAATGTTGCGTCACTCGATTATGCTTGTGACATTGTGTCGTAATGTTGCGACCCTCGATGATGCTAATGACTCGTGCCGTAATGTTGCGACACTCCATGATTCTTTTGACATTGTGTCGTAATGTTGCAACACTCCATGATGCTTGTGACATCGTGCTGTAATGATGCGACACTCCATGATGCTTGTGACATTGTATCGTAGTGTTGCGACACTCCATGGTGCTTGTGACATCGTGTCGTAATATTGCAACACTCAGTATCTTTATAACATTACCTCATATTATCAATGGCAGTGGCGTTTATTTTCAATTTCAGTTGTAAAGTTACTACTGTCGACCCGGAGACTGGGATAGTGTCCGAAAAGAACGAGCCCATTGCCACGCTGAAAACGTAAATACCGCCACCAACTTCTATGTCATTTTCAGCCAAGTATTTTCACTCGGACACATCTAACTTTATATGTTCGAATTGATAACTACTTAGATACAAATTTATAGTAGTGCAAACTGCTTTCCATTGCCTATGTATTAATGTGAGTTATATTGTATTCCACAGATACCGTATGTGTAAAGAGGAAGACCGTCCATTGTACCATAACTGTCCTTTATTTGGTGTTCACTATGCCATTGATGTTGTTGGAAGAGTCAACATAGGCGACACAGTTTATGTCGTATATGGATAACGTCTCTGTGATGTTATAATACAGACGATGTATCATTCATTGAAATTAGAAATATTGTAACACATTTGATTATGTAAATAATTAAGTAAAAATTGTTTACTGCGTTGAATATATGGCGAACCGCAGTTTCACGCTGTCTGAAATAATTTCAAGATATACACATTTCTGTGTAACATTGCATACCATTTAAAAATGACAAGTTTAAGCGTATGGGACAGATCGAGTCAGCAATACTATGAGGTTATTACGAGGATACCTCAAAGTATGCGCGAAGACAGTACAGTGGGAGTATGCGCGGAGGGCGATGCGACCACGTACTGTCTGAGTGCATACTTTGAGATATCCTCGTAATAACGTTATTATTATACATCTTTTCCTTCCAAGGATACATCATGGCAATGCCGAAATTCAAAAAGTTTAGAACATAATCAGCAAACTTCTTTGTATGGAGTCCGTCAAACTCTGGTGGCAGCCATGTATGTTTTTATTATTAGAGGACGTTTACGCGCGTAATCATTCCATATTTGGAATTCGCATTTCCTTATATGGTAGGATGAAAAAACCCCGGAAAATGCCGCAAAATTACGACAAGTTGTAACTTATGGCGTTACGGTGACAGATGTATAATAATATTTAATATGGCTACCAAGACGGGATGCCACTATTAAAATTCAACGATATTGGTCATTGTTTTCCCAGAGTTCAAACCAAGCGCACGGGACATTTTACAACAACAGAAAAGAAATATTTTGGCACTTTGGATTAGTTTGGTCAATTTTCTATTCCACACTATGGTCCAAGGGAGACATTTATATAAACTTGATGACACTGTCATCCGAGTAATCTACATTATCAATGAACGATGCCGTGTTGCATACGTCAATTAGTTGCTGGGCATATTGGTTAAATTGACTATCGCGACTGTTTCTAATCTGTTCAATAGTACATTTTGCATGATATCTGATTTCATTTGGCAGGTGAGCAGTGTTATCAAATGGAATTATATAAACTAATGAAGTTTTGCAATAGTATGGGGGGCAAGGGTCACTTTCGTTCAACGCAATTGCAATATTTTTTGGTTCGTACAACGTAAATTGAAAAAATAAATTCCCTAATTCTGTAATCACAGGCTAGACGTACAACGTAAAAATGTGTCATTTTTCTCTGTACGTACAAGAATTTACATCCAAATAAAAAAGTCGTACAGAATACCCAGGGAAATTACATTTTCGAAACTGTAAAACGACTAGATGACACAATTCACTGCAACATTCCATTTTCACTGTAAACTGTAAAAACGTCTTTTTTTCCTTGTAAATTGTGAAAAGTCCTTTTTATTTCCCGTAAAACTGTACCAGATACCCCGCTTGCCCCCCACATAGTATTTTCTAGAATGAAGGCACATTGACAGATCATTCAAAGTTCAAAGTTGCGTTGGGATTACGTTGATACAGTGTAACAATGTCGGCGTCGATGATCTCTTACCAGTTTCCAACGTAGCCAAAATAAAAAGCATGATCATTTGAACACTCCTATTACAAAACTGGTAGGAGGTAATACATTTGGGGTGAGAGTATTCAAAAATCAGTTTTTGATGTTGCAATGGTAGTGGTGGGGCGAGATTTTTTTCCAATCAGTGACGGTACGACCTACCTGCGAAGTATGAACAAAATCAGCCGAGCCGAAAAAATCACAGAAGTTTTAAAAGCCGTTGCTAGTGAAAAGTTACCCCAACTTTGGGGTCAAAATTTCTCGGTAATGAAAAAAGATATCAAAAATTCAAATAGTAACTTTGTGCCGACACTCAAGCTGAGTAGAATGAGCTATATCTGAAGTGTTTTATCCTAAATTTGTGGGAGCAGATACATTTGGCGCGAAGCTATCCAAAAATCAGTTTTTTGACTGTTACTATGGCAACGGTGCGCCAAAACAAATTTGAAGATTTTTCCTAATAATTAAGATGTAGGTGTGACCTACCTGCCAAGTTTGAGAAAAATCGGCCAAGCCAAACAAATCACCGAAGAGATAATACGTGAAAACACTCGAAATCACACACACAACGACAAAAGTGATTATAAGGGCAATCCTAGCGGAGCGGATCGCCAATAAGGGCAATCCTATTGGAGCGGATCGCCAATAAAGCGAAAGACAATGTTACAGGTATAGCAACAGCCAAAAAAATGTTTTTTGAATACTTTCGCCCCAAATGTATTACCTCCTACCAGTTTTGTAATAGCAGTGTTCAGATGATCATGCATTTTATTTTGGCTCAGATGATCATGCTTTTTATTTTGGCTACGTTGCCACTGGTAAAAGATCACACGGCGACTTTGTTACACTGTATCAACGTAATCACAACGCAACTTTGAACTTTGAATGAACTGTAAATGCTGCCTTCATTCTAGAAAATACTATCGCAAAACGGTTGGAAATATAACAGCAGAATACGTCCTAGTAATAAACTAAGTGACTTCTAAAGACTGAATGTTTTTTGCGAAATTCGTACTATACAGAGCCCATTTAGTTATAAACTGACGTTAGCTTCACGTTCATGTCCTACCATGGAAAAGGCCAAAAACAGCGGATCGTCAACCAGCCTACCGGCATGTATTGACTATGTCCCGGACTGTTTACTAGTACTCACTTACTTGTTAGTGTATGACTGTTATATACAGCCCAAAACACATCAGAATAGTAAAAAAAGTCAGGAAATGTCAGGTGCCCGTGCCTTGAGAGTCGTCGAACCAAAACAATCTGTCACCCTTTGCCGCCCACAGCATCGATATGATTTTATATTGCATAGAAAAGAACACTAAACGCAGCTATCCCGGTCACCAATCGAATCATCAATCTTCATGATTTATGCAACTGGTATGCATTTATTTGCTTAATGGTCTGAACTTTAAAATTGTCAAGTTCGAGAGTGTGTATTTACGTACAGTTACGCGAACATTCTACAACGTGTTGAACAGGAAGTCCATCTTGGGCTAGTGGCATTGTTAAATTTTATAAATTTCATTAAGGAATTGTTGTGCATATCAAAATCCTTTATTGGAACAGAACAAGTTATATATTCACCAAAAACAAAGTTGCCATGTTTCTAGGCGTACAACGAATTGAAAACAAAAGAAATCGTCTGATCCAAACCACTTGCAGCCATTCCTGTACTTGAACTCTTTTGGTCTTCCTCAAATTCCTGATTAGTTCAATCAGAGTTTTAGATATTGTGCCAAAGCAATTGTTAAGTTATTATTTGAAATTATTTTCATGAATTTATTTTTAGGTGCCAGATTTATAAAGTCAGTGATAATCTATTCAGTTTCATATTCAAATTCTTTCTTTATTACACATTATAAGGAAGTGGTGTTCATCTTCATTATCATATTTGTTACACAATTTGCAGATTCTGTGGCTACTTTTGATTCTGTTGTTTCTTCCTCTTTCAATTTCTAGACTAATGATTGCGTTAATATAACCGAAATCGAGGCTCATGCGGGGTGTACTGAAGGTCACAATGTAAACTACCACACGTATCACGCAACCGCGCAGATAAAAATGCGCATGTGCGGATAATGCGGAAACAAGGAGAATTAACCCAGAGTAAAACCTATTCCGAAAAAAATAGCAAGTCGTGGTTTTACAAAATGGGTTCATCTATGCCTGAAGATGCTATGATAACGGTGGCATCGATGCCAGACTTTTTAAATAGTCTGCCAAGCTGTTTTCAGGTGTTACCTGACGGGATATATCATGACCCACACAGAGTTAACGTGTTTCTGCATTCCGATCAGCACAAGGGAACATTCAGAAGCACACATGGCGGGTAAGAATTGTATCTATGCCGTATTATTTCATGTATGTTCATAATGACGCGAATTACCGGTACCTTGTCGCCTACTATATGCCGCAGTGCCAGTTGTATATAACCCGCGTCGTAATTAATGGTTGATAGCTGGGTCAAAGGTCATATCAATATTTGCTGCAGTGTCCACCTGGAGACTGACTATAAACTTAATTATTAAACCTATATTTATTATAAAATCTGCACACATGCATTTGATTACAACAGTAAAACTCACTTCAATTGAGTGACTAACATTCGCCTCGCAACGTAGGGTTCGATATGGGTCCCATGCGACGACGTATTCAATGCGTGTGAAATAAGTTGTTCTTTTTCATGAAAATCTAACATGCACTATATGACAACCATGTCACCTTGAAGTGGAGGAAAGAAATACATAGTTCATGTCCCCTACCATCGTTTCTATTTTAACGCATTGTTAATCAAATACAAATACCCTATGTACACGTCACGTATCACGTATTATTATTTTTATAAAACTGCAAACGACAGTTGAATTAATGCTGTAATAATAATGCAATGTGCTATAATAATAAAAGAATGTGGTGTAATAATAACACATCGAGCTGTAATTTTAATAAAATATGATGTAACAATAACACAATGTGCTGTAATGAGTATTATGTGATGTAATAGTAATGTATTGATCACCACGGGGTGGGGATGAATGGATATTATATGATGTAATAGTAATGTATTGATCACCACGGGTGGGGATGAATGGGTATTATTTTATGTAATAGTAATGTATTGATCACCACGGGGTGGGAATAGATGGTTATTATGTGATGTAATAGTAATGTATTGATCCCCACAGGGTGGGATTGAATGGGTATTATGTGATGTAATAGTAATGTATTGATCACCACGGGGTGGGGATGAATGGGTATTATGTGAAGTAATAGTAATGTATTGATCACCACGGGGTGGGGATGAATGGGTATTATGTGATGTAATAGTAATGTATTGATCACCACAGGGTGGGGATGAATGGATATTATGTGATTTAATAGTAATGTATTGATCACCACGGGGCGGGGATGAATGGGTATTATGTGATGTAATAGCAATGTATC